TTAAAAAAATAAAAGAGTTTTATGATTTTACAACCAATATTACTATCTGCCAAAATATAAAATGAAATTACTATCAATGATTTGACTAAAGTTAAACTTTGATACTTTATAACACAGGATTAATTATTTTGTGGTGATATATACCTTTATAATTGTTTAATTGCTATAAAGACATGCTTTGGCTAATATAGTGGTTTTAGGAGAAAGAAACCAATCTTCACAAATTAAAAAAAAATCCTCTTAGTCACTAGAAAACAAAATAATAATTGTTCACTGTGCAGGAAAGGCAGAAAGGACAAGAGGTTTTTGTTTTTGTTTGGTTTGGTTTTGGTTTTTAGAAGAAGCAATAAAAATTTTACATAATAAAAATAAGAGCTTTGGACCTGGCCTGTAAAGAGCTTAGAAATTGTCATTTTATCTCAAAAAGTAAACAGCTGAAGAAACTAGAAAATCAACAACTCTTCTTAGTTCCATCAGAGAAGTGAGGAAAAACCACTGCCCTCAAAGCTGGAGAAAGATTGGCGGATACTGAGAATTATAACTTACTAGAGGAGACATCCAGGCGTAGAAAGCCACAGGAACCAGGGCTGGGATGATTCAGAGACTGAACTGTGATTGACAATACACATTCTCAATTCAAGTTCATTGTTACATATATGGATTATAAATATGACCTAAGTTTGCACTTTATTAATGTAGTCCTTTAATAACCAGTTTTATTTTTTTTCAGTTTTTTCCCCAGTTTTATTGATATAGCTGACATATAATATTGTATATGTTTAAGGTATACAATATAATGATTTGATGTATGTTGTGAAATGATTACTAGCATAAATTTAGTTAACCTCCATCATATCATGGAGTTACATTTTTTACTCTGTTGTGACTTTTAAGATCTATACTCCTAAGGACTTGTAAATATATAAAACCAAATTGTTAGCTATAGTCATCATGAATAACCAGTTGATTTTATTGTTAATAAGTCTAATTATTTTTATTTATGGTTAACGCTTTTACTGTCTTATTTATTTAAGAAATCCTGAACACAAGTTCACAAATATAGTCACATTTTGGGATCCCTGGGTGGCGCAGCGGTTTGGCGCCTGCCTTTGGCCCAGGGCGTGATCCTGGAGACCTGGGATCGAATCCCACGTCGGGCTCCCGGTGCATGGAGCCTGCTTCTCCCTCTGCCTATGTCTCTGCCTCTCTCTCTCTCTCTCTCTCTCTGTGACTATCATAAATAAAAAAACAAATTAAAAAAAAACAAATATAGTCACATTTTTAAGAGGCCTTATGAATTTAGCTTTTACATTTAGATCTATATTTTATATTTTATCTGCCATCATTGTATATGTGTGTGTATATGTGTGACTTGAAAAATGAGATCAAAGTTCATTTTTATTTTTCTTTTTAAAGATTTTTATTTATTCATAAGAGACACAAGAAAGAGAGGCAGAGACATGGGCAGAGGGAGAAGCAGGCTCTTCAAGGGGAGCCCAATATGGAACTCTATCCCAGGACTCCGGGACCACACCCTGAGCTGAAGGCAGACCCTCAATCGCTGGACCACCCAGGCATCCCCAAAGTTCATTTGTACAATATGGGCTATCCAGTTGTTCAGCAACATTTGTTGAAAAAAACTTTTGTTTTCCCCAGAAAATGGCATTGACACCTTTAGGATATGCATTGGACTATTTTTGAACTTTCTCTTGGGTTTCAAAAATCCACATATCCATCCCTTTATCTGCTTCATACTGTCATTTTTACAGTATCTTAAAAGTGGGTTGTAAAGTAACTTTCTGGGATTTAAATTAGTATCCCAACTCTCCACCTATGTGGAAACCATAGAGTCCAGGAAAACATCCATCCACAGAGTCTGACATTGATTTATCTATTTCTGCTTTTTCTCTCTCTGTTATATTTTTGAGTTATGCTTAAATTGTAATAGGAACAATACACTGAAATATATTAATGTGTATTTATCCTTTTCATTGCTGTTACATCATCATTGCTCTGAGCTTCATCTGCTTATCTTCTTTAGAAGGTGCACTGCAGTTATTCTAATTGTTATGGCAGAAATATAAAAAAAGAGAATGGGTCAAATTTGAAATTCAATTACATAAAAAGAGATGTTTGAAGAGTCTTAAAAGTAAGATTTAATGGGGAGAAGTATTTTCTAAATGCTTTATGCTACTCAGTACAGCAAGAACCAGGATTCGAAGTATAAAAGAAAGAATTATATTATAGTCACGGATAGGAGTCTGGTTTTAAAACATGCCTGAAAATTCCTTGATATTTGTCCATCAAGCAGTGGAATTTATTTTTCTTCGACTTAAATATAGGCCAGCTCATGTGAACCTCTGCTGATAAATAGAATTAATAGAAGACAGACTGCTTGATTCTTGATGCCAGGTTAGGAAAGGTCTGATTCTTTCTTCTGGGACATTCATCTTGGCAACCCAACAATCATGTTATAAAGTGCCCAAGCCACACACAAAGGCCTCAGGTCATACTACCCAGTAGTACAAGCTTAGTTAACAATTTACAGCCAACATCAACCAGGAGATATGTGATGAATCAATTCCTGCATCCGATTTCTAGCATCCAGTAATTCCAACCTAAAATTGAGTGGAGCAAAGATAAGCTATACCCCCAAAGCCCTGCTCAAATCAAAGATATGTGATTTAAAACAAAAATTCCTCTAAGCACTAAATATTGCACTAGTTGGCTTCACAGAAATACATGCCTGGAATGAATTTAGGTACTAGGAGTGGTGCTATGATAGTAAAAACACTTAGAATGGGAGAGAGTGGCTTAGCCCCAGGTGGTGGGAGAAATTAGAAGGACACTGAGAGTCACAGGGACTGTGAGCAGAAGGTTGGTGACACTCCCGAAGATTGTTAGTGGAGATGAAAGGAATGTGAGAAAAATGTTATCGGAAGGTGGAAAGTTTAATGATATTGTCACCTTTGGTAACATGAAAAATAAAAAAAAGAAATGAACTTGATGATCTAATTAAAAATACTCCAGACAGAGTGTTAAAATTGCCATCTGGCTTCTTCTAGTTGCTCATATTAAAACATACAAGAAGACAGCATAAAGGCAAGAGAACTTTCAGGGTTTGGTTTGGCAATAAAGCCCTTTGTCATGCATACACTCTGTAGTTAGCAAATTATTCTAAAAAATTAAAAAAAATGTTTGAGCTGAGATCAAATTCAGGGCATTATCAGGCAAATACAGTCTACAGAAGATACTCAGGGCATGCCTATAAAACCTTTTTGTTAAGAACATGGATATACTTACTGTAACTTTCTGTAGCACTTCAAACAAACAACAGCCCCTCTTAACCTCTTAATGTCATGCCAAATTGATTCTCTTCATTACATAATAGAGCCTCTCCTCAAAACTTTACAGGAAGCCAAAGACAGTGTTAAAGTAATTAAACAAGGAGATCATTCGATAGTTGGCTTGGGAGTGCCTGGGTGCCTCAGCTTTTAAGCATCTAACTTTGGCTCAGGTAATGATCCCAGAGTCCTGGGATAGAGCACCATGTCAGGCTCCCTGCTCAGTAGGGAGCCTGCTTCTCCCTCTGCCCTCCTCCCTGTTCATGGTCTCTTTCTCTCATAAATAAATAAATAAATAAATAAATAAATAAATAATGAATGAATGAATGAATGATAATAAATAAATAATAAATAAATAAATAAATAACTTTGAAAAATTCTGGGTGGCTCTAACGCCTTGGCAGCCTATATAGGCAAACCTAAGTCAGTCAATGCACTCAAATCCAAGGAAGTGAAAACTGAGAACAACCAATCACAGACAAGAGACTATCAAATAAGGCAGCTGCTTAAACTATAATCATCCAATAACTGCTTTGCTTTGCTTCTGTGCATTCTCTGTAGTAATCTTGTCCCTAGCTCTTGTCAGTGGAACATTCCTAACCACTTTTATTGGGAACTGCCTGATTCATATCCATGTTTGATCAAATAAACGTAACTATTTTAGTGCTCTTTGATTTACTTTTTAATAATAGGGATGGACTTATCTTGATGAGAATTGTGAGTGTGGCTTTTGTCTAGTGGAATAAATGCTATTAATACCTACAGAAAACATCCAAGAATTTTAAGATAACATGTTGGCAAAACATTGCCAGCTTAAACTAAAAGGCAAAACAAAGTGTATTGGCCTTTGAACTAGTATGGGAATCGTGCATGCTGAGAAAACTGTTCAGCTGCAAATACAAATCATTTCTATTGGAAAACAAAATGGGAGTTCAGACAGTAGAATCAAGAACCCTGAGGGTGAATCCAAGAGCTGTACAGAAACATCCCTAGGCCATAGAATTGAGCTCTCATCAAATAGCTGGCAGGATGGACTTGGCTGGATTTTAAACTTGCTTTATGTGTATAATCTTTGTATGTTCCCCTTTTTTGAATGGGATGGTCTATAATAGCTATCCTAGGCCAGTCTCACCATCTTGTATCACTTGGGGGAGTGGGGAGTGGCAGCTGGTGGTGGTACTGCAGAAGAATAGGCCATTTGTCTTTATAGTTCTCAAGTCTTCAGACATAGGGGAATTGTTCTAGAGGGGCTGTACTGAAGGAATTGTACCTGAGAAGACTCATCCACATCTGGACATAATTTAGATAATGAAATGTTGAACTTTAAGCTGAACGTGATTCCATAATAAATGAGATGGTCTTGGGAGAGGGGTTAGTATATTTGACATGTGGGAAGAATAGAAATGGATGGCAGATTATAATTTAAAAATATGCCTGCAAACTCACTGGCATTTCTCTCCATCAAAAGGTAGATTCTAATTCCCCTCCCTTTGAATATGGCCTGGCCTTAATGACTTATTTCTAATTAATCAATGTCATGTAAATTATGATATATGAGTTTCCAAGCTAGCTTCAAAAACGCAAAGCCATTTTTACCTTGCCCTTTTCCTCAGAATATTTAAACTTTGTATCCAGCCACGAAGTTTTAAGGAAGCCATGGCAATGTGGAGAGGCCAGGTGGACATGTATTGGCAAGATTGCACCGCGGGCTACGACTGCATCATCCAGCACCTGAACAACGGCCGCAAGAACTGCAAAGAGTTTGAAGACTTTTTAAAAGAAAGGGCATCAATTGAAGAGAAATATGGCAAAGACTTTCTCAACCTCTCTAGGGAGAAGCCCTGTGGACAGTCGGAGATCAACACCCTGAAGCGGGCCCTGGAAGTCTTCAAGCAGCAGATAGACAGTGTGGCACAATGTCACATTCAGCTTGCCCAGACCCTAAGAGAAGAGGCCAGGAAGATGGAAGAATTCAGGGAGAAGCAAAAGCTACAACGGAAAAAGAGCTTTTAATGGATACTGCGCATAAACAAAAGAGCTTACAGTTCAAGAAAACCATGGATGCAAAGAAGAACTATGAGCAGAAATGCCGAGACAAAGATGAAGCAGAGCAGGCTGTCCCCCGGAGTGCCAACCTGGTAAACGTGAAGCAACAAGAAAAGCTTTTTGTGAAACTGGCAACTGCGAAGACCGCAGTAGAAGACTCGGACAAAACGTACATGATGCAGATCAACACTCTGGACAAGGTCCGTGAAGACTGGCAGAGTGAGCACATCAAGGCCTGCGAGATTTTTGAAGCTCAAGAATGTGAACGAATAAACTTCTTTCGGAATGCATTGTGGTTACACCTGAATCAGCTGTCACAACAATGTGACACGAGCGATGATGTGTATGAAGAAGTCCGTAGGAGCTTGGAAGCGTGCAGCATTGAGAAGGACATTGTGTACTTTGTGAGTCACCGAAAAACTGGACAGTGCCATTCCCACTACCTAAGCTCCCAGGTGACAATCAGGACCAAGCACTAGTCCTGTGATTCACTTCATTTGCCTATCTGCATTTTGGAGAAATGGAAGTGATGGAAGTCTGAAGGATTAACTACATATCCAGTTACCCAAAAGAATCATTTACAGTGAAAGAAGAATATTTCAATCAAAGGATTATTTAAAATGGTAAAGACATATTTCTCTACTAATAGAGCTCTGTGATGGCTTATAAAAGCGATCAGCTCAGCTCTTGAGAAAAGAAAATTTTCCTTTTCTGTATATATCTGAGTTCATTTCAGTAGAGCTGCAATCCCTCTGCAATTTTTGAAGCCATATTTTGAATGTTCAGAGACGATTCACAAGTACACATTGCAAAAATATGCCTGTCTATACCTTATGCTATTTAAGAACTTATAATTCATTAAACCAAAAATGATGTTACAATTGTACAACATAAAGACTAAAGTTATGGCTTTAGTTAAATACATATGCTCTATATTACTGAAATAAGGAATGAAAGGCTGAGGACATTCATGGATCTGAGGGGCATAAACAAGATATTAAGAATAGCATATGAGCATGTAAATAAAGAATCCCTGTCTCTTCTAATGAAGTGAGGGAAATATCCAGTAGGATATAACAGCCTGTAACATGGAAATAAAAGTACCAAAAACAACTTCTTGTAAACCACTAAATAGTTTTCAAACTCTTTGATGGAAGAAAAATAAGAAAAAGGATTGTGTTATCTACTTCTTGTATATATTAAAATACTAGATAGTTTTCTGTCCCATTGGAGATAAGAAGATTGCCATGTGAATTATCTCCCTTTTTAAATATATTTTTCTTGTCTTTCCTGGCTATACCTATTTTGTGGACCCCCACTCTCTTTTTCTGTTGCTAAACTTGTTTGGGAATAGGGCAAAATATGTAAGATAACCAGTATAACATGTACAATTAACCTCACTGTAAACTCACATAAGAAACTGTAAACTCCTAACGTCTTCCATTTCTATTTTTTCTGCTATCGGCTGTTACTAAAGGGGTGACGGGTTTCTGGGATCTCTAAACAGTTGTACCCTATTGTTTGAAGAAAGCGCTAAGTATGTAAGAAGCAAAGACACTGAGTGGCTTTAAAAAGGATATCCAGATTCCAGATTATGAGGAAAATGAAAGCATGACACTGAAGTGAATAAAATTTCATTAGTCCCCCAAATGTCTAAATGTCCCTACTCTTGTATCTACTTCTGTGGACTTGAGACACCTGGGTTTCCCTATTCTCCCTCTCCTTACTTCCCTGTGTATGCAGAACTTGCATTCATTTGGGGAATGGTTGCTAGGAAGTCTATGAATTCCTTAACCATTATATAGTTCTCAGGACACATTGCATTTCAGATTCTCTAGATTCAGATTCTGTAAAGAAGCAAAGAACAATCAACAAAACTGCTGAACTTAGAAGAAAAAAAAAAGCTAATTAGCAAACAGTTGTAAATGGGTTTGTTTACTTCAGGACCCTTGATTTCTTCCTGTTGTTCTTTAGCTTCCCTGCTCTGATTTCCACATCCATCATATTTCATTTTTCTGAAATCAGCTTATGCATTTAATAGTCCAGACTGGGCAATCAATGTTGATTGAAATCAACTTTCAAATTGATGCAAGAGGTCCACTGCTGCTCTAAGAACCAGCTGTGTAAATCTAAGAGAAAGATAACTGTCAGCTTTTTCCTTATGTGATTTTACATTTTCTTAAGCATACTGCTGTTATAATGACCCAGGAAGCACTTGTATCTATTAAAGAAATCACTTGCTAAAGGTCATACCTTCAAACCCACCACTCTGACATGATGCTGGACCAAAAAAAAAAAAAAAAAAAAAAAAAAAAAAAAAAACCAACGTGCTGTCTTGTTAGCAGCCACTTAGAAATGATTTGATTTCTTAGATACAAGAATAGGGTGCATATTTCTGTGGTGCTTATTGAGAATATATATATATATTCATATATATATATATATATATATATATATATTCATACTCAGTGGAAATAATGCCTCTTGTCTTGTTATGCAAGAAGGGCCCTATTTTCAAAGTCATCCAACTTAGTGTACTTCTAATTACAACTTGATGTTGGCTTTACAGAAAGAAGGCTCACAACAGTGTGAGACAAGATTGTTTCATTTCCATCACAATAGGGTATCTATGTTTGGCTTTCAGAGTTGAAACCAGGAAAGCTGCATTATAAGGCTTTCACTTTGTTGCCCTAGGGTGAGTATAAGACATCATCTCTTTCCATGAGAGACTTTTATTTGCCCTGCATGGTTTCTTCTCTTCTACCTTAGCCTCCATGAAGTCTCTCACTTTTTGCTACCAAAAAAAGAAAGAAAGGAAGAAAGAAAAAAAACTCTCTTTAAATATAATAATTTGTTTCTGTAGTTTTAGTTCAACTTTCTCAAATATTGTTTTGGCTTTATGGGGCATCTTTTTAAATAGACTTTGCATTTTAGAGCTAAGTTCATAGCAAAAGTGAACAGAGAGTGCAGATTCCCCATAATCCCTGTTGCTCACCACGTACACAGACTCTCTCTCTATCAAATTCCCTCACCAGAAAGGTATCCTTGTGACAATTTATGAATCTATACTGGCACATCACCATCACATCAAAATCCATAGTTTACATTAGAGTTCTCTCTTGGTATTGTATATTCTATGGGTTTTGATAAATGTATAATGACATGCACCCAATATTATAGTACTCCACAGAATAGTTCCACGGTATAAAAATGTTCTGTGCTCCACTTATTCATCCCTCTCTCTTCCCTAACACCTGGCAATCACTCGTCCTTTTACTTTCTCAATAGTTTTGCCTTTTCCAGGGTGTCATATAGTTGGAGTCATATAGGAGGCTTTTCAGATTATCTTCTTTCACTTAGAAATACGTATTAAATATTTATCATTGCCCTTGTACCCATATCTCCTTACACTGTTGCTGTCACAAGTTACATCCCTATACATTACTTTCATATTATCACAGATTTATAACAATTAGTTCAAGCATTTTGTTTGCAATTATCTTTTAAATTATGTAGAAAATAAGAATAGTTACAAACCAACAATACAATAATAACAGATTTTATATTTATTATGTACTTAGCTTTATCAGATTCCTTATTTCTTTATATGGCTTCAATTACTGTCTAGTATCCTTTCGTGTCCGCTTGGAGGGCTCCTTTTAGCATTTCTTGTAAGGCAGGTCTACTTGCAGAGAATTCCTTTAGCGGTGTTTAATTGTTTTAATCTGGAGATATCTTACTTTCTTCTTCATATTTGAAGGATAATTGGCCACATACATAATTCTTGACAGATTCTTTTTTGCTGCTTTTCTTTCAACACTTTAAAAATGCTATCCCACTTCCTTGTAGCCTCCATGGCTTCTGATAAGAAATCTGCTGTTAATCTTCTTAAGAATTCCCTGTACATTATGAGTCACTCTTCTCACACTGCTTTCAGGTTCTCCTTTGTACTTGACTGTCAAGTAACGTGCCATGGTATGGATTTCTTTGTATTTACTCTTTCTTGGGTTTCACTTAGCCTCCCGAAAGAACAGATGCATGCCTTTGATCAAATATAGGATGTTTTTAGTCACTTCTTCAAATACTCTTTCTACCCTACTCTTTCTCTCCTCTCCTTCTGGGGTTCTGATTATGCTACTCTTGGTTTACTGATGGTATATCACAAGTCTTAGTTCATTATTCTTATTTTTTACTTTCTGTTCCTAAGACTAGGTAACTGCAATTCATCATCATCAAGTCACTGATTCATTCTTCTGTCTGTTCATGGGCTATTGAAATAATCCTCTAGCAATGACTCTTTTATTTCAGTGATCAAAGTCTTAAAGCCCAGAAATTCCCTTTGGTTTGCTTTCTCTTTATTGATATTCTCTATTTTTCATATATCTTCCCCTGGCTACCTATATATCTTTATGTATGATCTCCTTAACTCTTTGAACATATTTAAAACATTGATTCAAAGTCTTTGTCTCATAATTTCAATCTATCTTCCTTTAGGAATAATTTCTGCTATTTTCTTCTGTAAATGGGCCATACAGTCTTCATTCTCTGCATAATTTCATATTTTGTTTAAAACTAGAAATTTGAGTATTTTATCGAGACTCTAGAAGCCATATTCTCCCATTCTTCAGTGTTGGTTTTGTTGTTTGCTGTAAGCTATGACTGTTTCTTTGTTAATAATTTTCATAAAGTATTTTTGTAAAGTCTGTATTCTTTGTCATGCATGATCTCTGAAGTATCTATTACTTTAGCTTTGTGTTCAGCTGGTATGTTCAGAGATGTTTTCTTATACTCAAAGATTGAGAGAGAGGGAGAGAGAGAGAGAGAGCAGGAACACATACACAAAAAGAAGTTTGACAGAGATTTCCTTAAATATCTATTGCAAAGAAATGAAAGCAAAGATGAGCCTTTGCAGATTGAATCTGTGTTAGGACACTCGTTAGATACTTAGCTGTGCCCATTAAAATTCTGCATTAGTCTTCATTTTCCACTTGCACTAAGGCTAGAGATCAGTGGGAGGTGAATGTTTAGGGTCTTCTCAGGACTTTCTATACGTGTATCATTTTCTTCAGGTTAAATTGACTGCACTACTAACATAGTTAGCATTTTAACTGTGAAAGTTCTTGAGTTCCAACTTTCTCTATATTAAGGTTTATACTGAACAAGCTAAGTATTTTTTAAATTAGTAAATGCTAAAACATCAACCAGTTTACAACTACAATTCATGATTTCTTTTCTTGTAATTATTAAACATATACTAACTCAGGAGAGTTTCTGGATCAACAGAAGAATGTGTAACACTCTTCTATGTATAGGACTTGAGACTCCAAAAGTAGTTATCACACACCATTTTAAAATTGCATGAATTGTGCTAGTGTTGGAATAACTATATCTTTGATCAAATGTACAGAATTGTACTCACTTTAGTTACATACTAGTCAATATAACAAAAAAACATCATGTTAACAAAGGATATTTTAAT